CACCAGTGCCGAGTACAGGGGCACGATCACTTCCCTACTCCTGCTGGCCACACTATTTCTGATACAGGCCAGGATGCCATTGGCCTTCTTGGCCGCCTGGGCACACTGCCGGCTTATGTTCAGCCGGCTGTCAACCAGCACCCCCAGGTCCTTTTCCAACAGGCAGCTTTCCAGCCACTCCTCCCCAAGCCTGTAGCGCTGCATGGGGTTGTTGTGGCCGAAGTGCAGGACCCGGCACTTGGCCTTGTTGAATCTCATACAGTTGGCCTCGGCCCATCGATCCAGCCTGTCCAGGTCTCTGCAGAGCCAGAGAACTTCTTCCAGGTATCCTTTCTTTTGTGTCATTTTTTCCCTTTGGAGCAAATCCCGTGCCCACAAAAGGCAAGGAGTCAACGAGGATTTTTACTGATGGGTTATAAAAAATATTTCTGTAAGCCTACCCAGATGATGATCCTCCTTTGAGTATTTTTTAAGGTTTATTAAATATTATCGACTTTTAAAGTGTTCTGTTATTCCCTTCTGGTTCAGAATTCATGGTTTGCATCCTTGCTGTCTGATGTTGGTTTTTAGTACTGTTCTGTTATTTCAGTGCTGGAGAGCTGAGATGTGTGCTCACACGTGTCTCACTCCAGCGAGTAACAGTTTATGGTGAAAACAAGGAATCCAAACGGGTTAAGTAGAACAGCAGCTCCCTCTAGTGCTTTTTGATCCCCTCCCCCCTTTTAAAGAGTCTAGAGAGCAGTTTAAAGCTTCTGTTAAATACACTATTCATTTCACTCTCAGAAGCATTCTGAAAACTGTGATTGTGAAATCAAAATCTCTGTACCCTTCAAATGTATTTCATACATTTTCTTGCTTGCGTTTTCTTCTGAAGTCTTCTGAAAGAGATGCTGTCTCTTTCACATGCTGTTATCCTGCTCTTCATGGCTCTTCACTGAAATTGAAACGCTGATTTTATGAAACAAAAAGAAATACTATCATAGTAGGATGCTGTGACGTTGTAAGTACAGCATTTTGATCTGACTGCAGAACTGAACTGATAGCTTTGTTCTGCCATAGCTGCTAAAAAAAATATCTACAGGACTTAGCAATGCAGAAGGGGTTACCAGCAGATCATAGCTTGTTTTGCATAGGTATAATGCATTGGCTTTCTAGTTCCTGCACCATTTTTTCTCAGTACATACAAGCAAATGTATGGAAGGTGGCTGAACTTAGTATTTATATGCTGTTGGCCTAAGGATGTACAGGCCCAGTTCTGCAGTCTTCACTTAGGCAAAATGCTTTTCTGGTCTTGGGTTGTAGAATTACTACCTGCCTGTTTTTGTGTAGAGTTCTGTTAAGAGGAGATCATTTATTTTTCTGTGTGTCCTGCTTAGAAAATAGCTGCATGATGTCTGGCACTGTTTTACATATTGTGGTCATTTGTGGGAGGTGTTGGGGTTTTTTTTGTTGTTTTCTTTTATTTTTACTTTTACATGAATCAGCAGCCAGGTATTTCTATTTACATAGGTAGGCTAGAGGACAGAAAAAGGAGTTTTACTGGTTTCTTCATTAAGGGTTAATTTTATCTTTTCTGTCCCAATTTTCTTCATCTCTGCTGGAACTGTTATGACTGGAGGAATTCCACTTCGCAATAGTTCCAATTTTAGTGGAACATCACATTGTTTTTAAAATAAAAAGAGTGCCAAGCTGGAGTTGTGCTAGACTTCCACCAGTATAACA